GGATGCAGAGGTGATCTATGCCTGGATTGTTTCTTAGATACACAGAATATAACTGGTTACTAACATTTATAGGTAAAGTTGATCCAGTGAATATCCGATTGCCTCTCAAGGGAACAGGAAGGATTTTTATTTCTCTGCAGAAGCAAATTGGATCGTGCTTTGCTGGGGTTTTTTGCTTCCTCTGGATCATCTGTGGGTGTAGAATTATAGCTTCTTTTTTTTTTCTTTTTTTTTAATGGTTGAACTGGATGGACTTTTGTCTTTTTTCAGCCAGATTAGCTATGTAAGATCTATGAAGGCAGCCTGTTCAAACCAAAGACAGGCGGTCAGCTACATAGACCTACATAGATCCAAGCAGTTCCAATGCATGGATCACAATGCAGTCTGTTTGAGTCCTGATCCATGCATTGGTCCCCTATGAATGTACACTCTACTACCTACTGCCTGTCATTGATTTCAACAGGCTGTCTGCACGGGTCTACATGGAACACCTGTGCATCTTGTGGACAAAGACAGCCCTTTGCACAGGGGAACAGATCGGTATGCCCATGTGAATGAGGCCTCATGCTCCTTAATGTTTTGTGCTTTTTAACATCTGAGTGCCTCTGGTCAGCAGGCATCAACCTTTATTTGTGTTTTTTAAAGACCTACAAAGCATTATATATACTATATACACAAGGCAGACTTGTGTGAAAAAAGTGTGAAAAAGCAGTGCTAGACCATGCTATTCAGCCAAGTGATCACAGTCAATTGGAAGTGATCTTCAACTGGAAGTTGGCTTGATTGATCTTAGTCATGACCATAGAACTAAACCAGAACAATTATAAAAGATGGGAGTTGAGGCTTCTCAGACACTACTGGCTGTATGCTCCTATATCACCACTAGTAGTGAATTCAGGATCAGAATGATAGCACTGGAACTTGCACCTTTAACAGGTCAGTCCAGTTTATTCATGTAGCAGAAAAGAAAACACTCATCAGACATTAGTCTTTACAACTTTATTTACATACATTACAGGTTTTAGAATATTTTATCATCATGAGCAGCCAACCTTGTATACAAGCTATAGTTTCAATTCCCTGCACCAACTAAACCCTCTAAACATAAATATAAACAGCAGTCACCTGAAAAGTGCAATAACACTTAAAAATACATACAGACAGAATAAAGGGGTGCTAAGTGCTCATGTGCATAAAAAAAGTGACCTGCACTCTTCATGTTTGCATATAAACAAATATATTAACCAATATATGCTAAATCTTGTATGAAAGAAGAAGAATCAACCCAAAGGACACATCATACTGACTGTATGTTATGTCCCTTGTGCTGATTTATATGTTTTTGCTATGTGGTTCTCCAGATAAATGGTTTGAAGAGAGGGAGCTCCAATGTTTACAATATATAAGAAAGAGGTAAGAACTACCGATCACAGGGTCCCATAGATACATTTTAAAGTGGTTAATCTGCATTCCTCAGTGACTTCTTTGCAAGGCAACCAGAAATTTCCACTTCTGGACAGTAGCCAACTCCACTACTGATAATTTGCCCCTTTATTCATCGGTGGCCAACATCCTTTTGTGAACCTACTTACTTTAGCTCCTTTGCACTGGTAGCTGGTGGACTTTCAGTTCCAAAAATATTGTTCCTTTTACATTGTGGCCTTTGTATTTTCTTGTAGAGTAGGCTGCTCCTAGCATAGCTATGCTATTACTTATACAGGCCATAGATGATTTGTTTATCAGCCGATTTTTCGTCCGAAAAACGAAACATCGGTCTTTCTGTTGCCACCAATTATTGTGAAAATCAGCCGTTTTTGAACATTTTCCAGCATGACCGATAAAAGAAATGAGGAGGAACCACGAAAATTGGTCGATGACATTGCCCACTATCAGTGCGAAAATCAGCCGATTATTATTTTGGATGAAAAATCGGCCGATAAACGAACCGTCTATGGCCTGCATTAGAGCTGTAGAATGAAATGAAAAAGTGTCAGTAGGAAATACTGTTGATGTGCAGAGAAATTTTGAATGAAGTTAGATTTTAATAATCTAACTGCAACCAATTATCCTAAAATCAGCAAAGCTCATACAATTTTTACACCTATTTCAGTTACTATCAGCTATTCTCTTACCATCATTCTGATAATGTAAAGATCTTATGGAACACCTGATGAAAAATGTATATATACTGTAGCTAAATTTTCAACATAACTGTCCATATGGAAAAGCTTTTTTCTGAAGTGTATAATATAGATATATGTTTGAGCCTGGTTCAACCCACATTTCTGAAAAACAAATCAATATATTGTTGGCAAATTGTTAGCTTGTGTATTTCCTATATTTTATATAAATATGAGATGTGGAAATAAATACGTGCCTGTTCCATCCCACATGTTTAAATACCTACCAAATAGATAAATCATTGTTAAATTGTTAACTCTTGTATTTCCTATTTTTGATATAAATATAAGAAAGAGAAATATATTTGTGTTTGTTCCATTCCACATTTGTAAGCCATTAACAAATCATTATATACAGTAGTTGGTGAATTCTTAACTCATGTAATTCCTATATTTGAAATAAATATAATAAATAGAAATATATTTGTGTCTGTTCCATCGCACATTTCGAAATAATTAACAAATCAATATATTGTTGGTAAATTATTAACCCATGTATGTCTTATTTTTGATATAAGTATTCATGTATTTCCTATTTTTGATATAATTATTAATATAAGTAATAGAAATATATTTGTGTCTTTTTCATCTCACCTTTTTAAATAATTAACAAATCAATATATTGTTGGTAAATTGTAATAGAAATATATCTGTGTCTGTTCCATATCTCATTTCTAAATCAGTATATTGTTGGTAAGTTGTTAACCCATGTGTTTCCTATTTTTGATATAAGTATTGATATAAGAAATAAAAATATATTTGTGTCTGTTCCATCCCATGTTTCTAAATAAATAACAAATTTATATATTGTTGGTAAATTGTTAACCCGAGTATTGCCTATTTTTTATATAAGTATTAATATAAGAAATAGAAATATGTTTGTGTCTGTTCCATCCCTCATTTCCAAATAATTACATCAATATATTGTTGGTAAGTTGTTAATCCATGTGTTTCCTATTTTTGATATAAGTATTGATATAAGAAAAAGAAATATATTTGTGTCTGTTCCATCCCATATTTCTAAATAATTAACAAATAGATATATTGTTGGTAAATTGTTAACCCGAGTATTTCCTATATTATTATGTTACTAAACCAGAACCCTGCATTCACTATATCTGGTCTCCTACAGTACACATGACAGTGAAATGCAATTATTTTAGCAAATATAAACTGCTAAATACCTTTTTTTCATCAGAAGAATATAGATAGCAGTCTCATGGCTTCTGACCAAGCGCTGGTTATTCTTGTAGGAGGAGTTTTTATTCTCCTCTGACTGTCCTATGAGGTTGCAAACCCTTGACCCTCTGTCTGAACAGTGCTGATTGGCCCTGTGCTAATCACATGCACCCTCCCAAAGAAAAACAAACTCTCTAGCCATACACACTAAACTGAGCATGTGCAAAGTGACTCCTATGGCTCTGTACTGTCAGCAGATGAATTGGGGACAGTAGAAGAAGGGGAGAGTCAGAGAAGACAAGATTAAACAGCCTTTTTACACAATACAGAGGATTAACCCCTTAGGTTCCACAGTGAGAATAACAAGTGTGCTTTACTGCATATACAGACTGATTTTACCGGTGTGGGTTTAGTAACACTTTACGATAAGTATAAATATACATAAAAATATATTTGCGTCTGCTCCAGTACACATTTGTAAGTGATTACCAAACTGATATGATTTATAAACTCATGCTATGTTTGAAATTGTTCTTCTTATGTTCACACAGGCAGTGTATTGTACAGCCGCCGGAAATAAGCACAGGTGAGATAGAGTTACACTTTGTTTCTTGAGCCTTGTAGAGACTGTGTCCAGGTGCTGAGAAGGAATGGACATCATTGCTTACACTGACGACAAAAGTGCTTGGATCTCCTAGCACTAACCAGGAAACACATCAATCAGTTTGGCAACAATGGTTGTAGAACCTGTCTGAAGAGCTGCATTCCCAAATACAAATCTACCTTGGCTCACAGATTAACCAGCTCCACCTGCTGGACCATCAACCCATCATCACTTTGGACTCCTAAAGCAGAGATTCACGGGCTGTAGTGACAGTAAATTTCCTTTTCCCTGGAACCCGTAACTAGGACTATTTTATCTGTTTTTCAGCAACTATAACCTAATAGACAACTAACCAATCAAACTCTATATTGCTCTGCACCTTTTCAATATCCTATGACATCAGAAGCACTCGATCCTTTATTATTCCTATATGGTGACAAATTCCACCAATACTAACAAAATTTAGCAATAACATTAAAAATCATTTTATACAAAATGTGTGCACTTTGAATTTGATAACTGTCATAGGACTCCCTTTATTATTAGTGACATGACGCTAAACTCTGGTTTGGTTAAAGTCCGGACACTTTCACCCCCTTTCTGTCCAGGCCAATTTTCAGTTTTCAGTGCTATCACAGTTTGAATGACAATTGCGCGGTCATGCAACACTGTACCCATATGAATAATTTAGCATGTTTTAGAGACAGATAAAACTTTATTTTGGTGGTATTTATTCATCACTGGGATTTTTATTTTTTTCCTATATAAATGAAAAAAAACCAAACATTTAAAAAAAAAAGGGTTTTTCTTATAAAATTTTGCAAATAAATAATCTTTTTTCATAAATCTTGGCCAAAATGTATTCAGCTATCTTTTTAGTAAAAAAAAATAACACAAATTAGTTTATAACCAAAAATTTTTGAATTTTTTTTTTTATATTAATATTTATGGTTTTTTTTTTTTACCTATAAAGGCTGTAAAAGCAATCATTTCTCCTTCTCTCTGGCTGCATTCTTGCAGCTGTTGAGAAATATTGTGTGACCTGTGATTGATCACAGCTTGTCACATGGTACAAGGCAGTTGTGAATAGCCTTGTACCATGTGACCTCTGTAATCATTCACAGATTTCACTAGTAGTAAGCAATGATGTCAGAAGTGACATCTTGCTTATTACTATTCATGTGATCACAGTGCCGCGCGCTCCTAGGGAGAGCGTACAGGCAGGGAAGCAGGGAGGATGTTTATAAATGGCCACCCGCTCCTGCAATGCTCCTATCGAGCCGTTTATATACATGGGCTGGACAAGAAGTGGTTAAAAAAGAGAAGTATGTATTCTTAACTCAAAAAAGTACCTTTTATTGCTCTCAACATTTTTTTTGCTGATGTGATCCACTTACTGTTTAGAGGTTTGTTACATTTGGTCTCCATGGTCCCACTGTTTGTTGGAATGTAGCCAGCCGTTCTTGCGCACCCTCGAGATAGACTAGGGACTATTGACTATAGGACTTGTAGTGTGCATAGAGTAATGCTCGTTTGGAAATGGAGAGGTTTGGGAACTCATGGAGGAGGCAGAAAAATGCAGTAAGCAACAATTTCATGAAAAATTGATTACAGACCCACTAAGTAGTGGATGTGTATGGATTATTTTGTGAGACTAAGTATATTGTTTATTGTCACTGTAACAAGCCAAGAACCTTGCTTTTTGTTTAAAAAAAATATTTGTGTGAAACTAAATTATGATTGGTTGCTACATGTAACTAAAAATTATTGCTCTTTTGGCCAGCAATGTACCACTAGATGTGCAATGTGCTCATTCAGATTTGTTTTTTGAATGAATATTTCATTTTCAGCAATTCGGATCTATCCGAATTCCTGAATGGACATAGTAACAAATCTGAACGAACCTGAAAAAAGTTATAACAAACTTTTTGGATTCTTCAGGATATTTTGGATTTAATAAGAAGAGCCAGTTGTTAAGCAGTGGGTGGCTGCTGCGTCCTTAACAACCATGACTTATCTGCTGTCAGTGTGATTTCCTGCTGTCAACAGAATGTAAACAAAAGACGTTCCGCGTGGGGGTCCCCCCAATCCTTACCAGGTCTGGTATGGATTCTGAGGGAAACCCCACACCAAAATTAAAAAATGAAAATGGCAAGACCAGACCCTAATCTTAGTATGCAGCCTGGCAGGCCAGGAAAGGGGGGGGGATGAGCATGCACCCTCTTCCTGAACCATACCAGGCCACATACCCTCAAACTGGGGGGGTGCCATGGGGGGGGAGGTCCCCCCCAAAGCACCTTGCTCCCATTTTGATGGGGACAAGAGCCTCTTCCCCACAACCCTGGGTTTGGTTGTAGGGGTCTGCAGCCAGGGGGCTTATCAATGTCTGGAAGCCCCCTTTAACAAGGGGACCCCCAGATCCTGGCTCCCTCAAAGTAAATCCGATGTCATTCATGATGAATGCTGACCCACACAAAAAAGCTCACCGAACACAGCGTTTCCTGTCTAGCGACACAATCCAAATGACAGGTAACATGTGGGTGGGTTCAGCCGATGACTCTGCCCCCATGTCTACCTGTCATTGGGCAAGTATCTCTCCATGCCAGTGGCTGTCAGTGCTGATCAATGGGTTATGGCAGGGGGTGGGGTGGTGGGGTTGCCAGTGTAATAGCTCAATGGAGGATATCGTCGCACTAACATCGCTTGTGTTAGTATGGCAATCTGTAAGTATTTTTTGTTCAGTTAGCATGGTTGAATGGAGAAAAAATGTATAGTGTGTACCCTACATTACCTTCCATCCACTTGCACAGGGAGTGTGCACAAGACATGGTATAATGGTTATTTTTTGCACTTATTGAACACAATATAAATTAACACTTTCAATGGTATATTTAATAGACAAAAGCAAAAGAGAGAAGTTCATTCTAGGATTTAAAGTGAATATACACTATATTGCCATAAGTATTGGGACTCCTGTCTTTACACGCACATGAACTTTAATGGCATCCCAGTCTTAGTCCGTAGGGTTCCATATTGAGTTGGCCCAACCTTTGCAGCTATAACAGCTTCACCTCTTCTGGGAAGGCTGTCCACAAGGTTTAGCAGTGTGTCTATGGGAATGTTTGACCATTCTTCCAGAAGTGCATTTGTGTGCTCGGGCACTGATGTTGGACGAGAAGGTCTGGCTCGCAGTCTCTGCAATAATTCATCCCAAAGGTGTGTGCAGGCCAGTCAAGTTCCTCCACCCCAAACTTGCTCATCCATGTCTTTATGTACATTGCTTTGTGCACTGGTGTGCGGTCATGTTGGAATAGGAAGGGGCCATCCCCAAACTGTTCCCACAAAGTTGGGAGCATTAAAATTGTCCAAAATAACTTGGTATGCTGATGCCTTAAGAGTTCCCTTCACTGGAACTAAGGGGCCAAGCCCAACCCCTGAAAAACAACCTCACACAATAATCCCTCCTCCACCAAACTTTACACTTGGCACAATGTAGTCAGGCAAGTACCATTTTCCTGGAAACTGCCAAACCCAGACATGTCCATCAGATTTCCAGACAGAGTAATGTGATTTTTCACTCCAGAGAACATGTCCCCACTGCTCTAGAGTCCAGTGGCGGCATGCTTTACACCACTGACTCCGACGCTTTGCATTGCACTTGGTGATGTAAGGCTTGGATGCAGCTGCTTGGCCATGGAAACCCATTCCATGAAGCTCTCTATACACTGTTGTGCTAATCTGAAGGCCACATGAAGTTTGGAGGTTTTTAGCTATTGACACTGCAGACAGTTGGCAACTTCTGCGCACTGTGCTGCTTCAGCATGTGCTGACCCCGCTCTGTCATTTTACGTGGCCTACCACTTCGTGGCTGAGTTGCTGTTGTTCCTAGTTGCTTCCACCTTGTTATAATGCCACTAACAGTTGACCATGAAATATTTAGCAGAAATTTAACATGGATGGACTTATTGCACAGGTGGTAACCTATCATGGTACCACACTTGAATTCACTGAGCTCCTGAGAGTGACCCATTCTTTCACAAATATTTGTAGAAGCAGTCTGCATGCCTTGGTTCTTGATTTTATACACCTGTGGCCATGGAGGTGACTGGAACACCTGAATCCAATGATTTGGAAGGGTGTCCCAATACTTTTGGCAATATAGTGTAGGTCCACTTTGAGTTAAGGGAGGCTTGTTTGTGTTCATGATAATGGATGGGGCATATCAATAGGCACAAGGATGGTATACAGTATCTTATTGAAGTTGATAAAAGATGAGGCATATATGGGCAGGCTTTTGATTTAGACAGAATCATCCTGCATTTACTCATATGAGTACATTGTCTTTATTGGTGGGTCTGGAAGATGAGAACTGTGGCCGCGTTAGTACCAGCATCAGGCACTGCACAGACCTAACTGCTTTCTGTAAAATCCACTTACACCTGCAGAATTTCCTGCACAATGGTAGCACTTCTCTAAGTATGTAACAAATAGCAAAGTAAGCACTCCAGTTTATTCTTTCAGTTTTACATCTGTGCACTCAGTAATTTCACCCTCATTCCTTCTGTCATATTTATTTCCTCTGTACACCTGCATGTATTATCTACAGTATGTGCTTTGAATTCTATGCAGCTCACTGTCTACCCTAATAAATATGACAATGGTCTTACTGAATACTGAGGTTATAATAGAAACCTTTTTTTATTGACATACTTGCAGATTTGTATAATGACCCACTTGGCAATACAAGTTTTTATTTTTTAATACTGTTATTTGGTCTATAAGTTCATTTTGTTATACTCTGATTTCAAGGGACTTCCCTTTTCTTTAACAGTTTGAATGGAGCCTATTTTCCAAACTGTAGCAATATGTTCAAAATTGATTACATGTCAAGAAATATTTTACAACATTTAGTAATTAACGCCAAAGACCAACCACATCTTCTTTGAACTGGTTTATTATCACAAGAAAAGGTTTATTCACATTAGTATATTTTTATATTTAACATTTTAGCATCTTTCATTAGATGCTTGTGCTAGTTTTAACTGGAAATGAACATTGCAGATCTTGCTACTTTATTACTGGAAGGCCACGCAGCTCCTTTTTTTTTTAACACTTCCCATCTCTTCTGTTCCTCACCTATTAGTGGCTTGATACAATGTTGAGAGGGTGCAGAGTGCTGGATCTTTTTGTTTACAGTTGAGCTCCAGGTAGATATAAAAAGATACATTATTGCAACTCTGTATTCATTACAATGTATCTAAACCCCAAAAATGTTAAATAATGTAGTTTACCAATAGAATCATTGTTCACCTTTACTAAAAAAAACTGATGCAGAGAAGGGGTGTCTATAGATAAAAAACAAACTGTGCAGCTTTGACCAAAGTCGAATAATGCCCTTGCTATAGGTATAGGACATTTACATACCTCCTGAAGCCTGCCTTGTTACTAAGGCGTTGCTAAGACACACCCAGCTGTTACTGTTCACCTTAACCATTACAGGAGTTAGCTCTTTCTCTGATTCAAACCTCGTCAAATGCTCTCTCTCTCTCCTCAGATGCAGTGAGCAATAACAGATGAGTATATATTTTGAAAATATATATTTTTGAAATATACTCTTCAGATTTTTTTAACATATAAAAAAGTAATTTTAACATATTTTTACATATATTTGTAAATGCATTCCAAAAATGTAGATTTGTATTTTTAAAGATATACAGTATATTTGAAATGTATTTTAAAAAATACCTTTTATATATTTTGTAATAAAAACACATTTCAACATGCAGTGTGTGTGTGTATATATATATGAAATATATTTTTAAATATATTGAATATGGCCAAAATTGTAGTATTTCAAATGTCAGAATTTGTTCATTTTATTAATTCATGTAAATCCTTTATTCCAAGAGGAAACAAGATAGCTGTAACTGCTTAAAAAATATCACCAGAGGTTCATCTTTAAAGCAGAATTAAACCCAAAAGCAAACATTTATTATATTGCAACTTACCAGTTCTTAGATGTGATGATTGGATTAGTTTTCCTTCCCTTATTTTCATCAGGTGATCTGGCCAGTAAGTTTTCTGTTTTTCAAAAGAACAAGCTCTCTTCCAGATGTATCAATTACAGGGATGAGACTAACCATTTACCACAGGGCAGGGTGCTTGCAATGATAAGCTTTTATTTATTTATGTAAAACTTTTATCCCAAAAGTAACAAAAACTGTTGCTGTAACTGCTTATAAAGTGTTAGCTGGAGTTTGGCTTTAATCTGTTTAGTGTATTTAAATATGCTGAGACTTCTAATACTTCCCTCCTCCCAGACTGACAATGCTGCTGTCCAAATGTGCCACCTGGTCCCCTTCATCCAGAATGGAGTATTACTAGCCACATTACCAGGAGATGTGTGGGGGTGCCAGCAATCCTAATGGCACCCCCATGCATTAAAAACAGCTTGGCCTCCTGCACTGGGAACTGCATTGTGGGTTGCGTTTTCTGAAAAGGTGCTGCTGTGACCACGCAAAATGCGGCTCACAGAGCTACAGAAGTGTGAACCTAGGGTAGGGGTTAAATGCTCATTTATGCCTAGGGTACCTGTAACAAGGGTTTTTAAACTCCCTCAAACTCACAGGTCCCATCAGTGGTTGGGGCGAAACGTGTCAGGGGTGTGGCTGGGATGGAGATAAACTGAGTCTGCTACCACCTCCTTGATGTATGGGATTGCTTGGTGTGTGGATCATGGTTCATTATTTTTGTTCTCATACTCTTGAAAGGTTCCTTGAAAAGAACAGGTAAAAAAGGTCATGGTAATGCGTTTCAGAAGGCCCTTTATTAAAACTGATCCAAACAGCTTAAACTGTCCAATATTCACCATCCTAATCCCACCCCAATGTAGCACCTTCCTAACATAGAATGGTGGGCAAATTTCGTTTTTGGCTCCTTCTGTAATCAGGGGAGCAGTGAAGGTTTGCTTTGGTTTGTTCAAGGTTTCATAGGTTGAGCAGGGGCGGACTGACAACTCATGGGGCCCCCGGGCAATAGGGGATCATGGGGCCCCTGTGTCCTTGCCCATACACAAAAAGCCTATGAAAAAGCCAATGAAAGGTACCAGGGGCATCTCATGGGGCCCCCTACTGACCCTGGGCCCTCGGGCAGTGCCCTAGTGCTCGAATGGTCAGTCCGCCCCTGAGGTTGAGACTACTTCCCCCTGGTTCTGGAAAAAGTTTCCAGAATATGGGGTGGGAAAGTCAAATGACCAGTTTGAATATTTATCCTGCCCTAGCCAATCCCTGGAGGGAAGTGTCCAGAAGGTGGCTGGGTAGGCGATAAATAGTCTAAAGCCTTGGAGAAATGATTCTTTCCTTAGCAGGGAGGGTTCCAAAGCCTCTGAGCTGTTGTCCCCTTGGGCAGCCTGTGGACTGTGTAGCCGTCTTTGAGGTTTCAGCTGTGTCAGAGCTGAGAGCCTGATCTGATCTGAGGAGCTGTCTGTGGAACGTCACCATAAGGGATCTGGTCTGAAGGAGATTGTCTCCCTCACTGGACCATGTCTGGATGAAGTTATAAAGTGTGCAACTATCGTGGGGATTCATGATCTCTGACCCTGAGTTGTGATCCCTGGTGATTGTATGCTTTTGGGATATAAGTGCCAGGGGTAGCTATGGATGGAGACATCTCTCGTATGGCCTCAGAATACTGGCCGTTCCCCTGTCCTGGGGACTCATGAGCTCTGACCCTGAATTTTGATCCATGGTGATTGTATGCTTTTGGGATATAAGTGCCAGGGGTAGCTATGGACGGAGACATCTCTCATATGGCCTCAGAGTACTGGCTGTTCCCCTGTCCTGGGGACTCATGAGCTCTGACCCTGAATTGTGATCCATGGTGATTGTATGCTTTTGGGATCTAAGTGCCAGGGGTAGCTATGGACGAAGACAGCTCTCATATGGCCTCAGAATACTGGTTGTTCCCCTGTCTCCAGCAGAATTCTGGAGTGGGAACGTTTTTTGGAGTATTCCATGCCCTAATCCCTCTCCTGTGGAAAGTTCTTCAAGCAATAGATTTCAAAAACACATCCCCTAGACTGAATTATTGGAGCTGCAGTGAAGGAACTAGGTGGTGGTGGGCAGCCTCTATACTAATAGGGAAGAATCAGTTATTACCAGTGGCCATGCAGGGGTAGAGCTACACTTATACTGTGCACAACCCTCACAGGAATCCCAGGTATGCAATAGACACACTTAAAAAGGAATAAAATATATTTAAGTAATAATACATAGAAAGGTTTTACATTGTAAACTTAACTGCACGGCTAAACAGTGCTAGTATTGCATAATTTTCAGTTATTGAAATGTATATAGTAACATTTACATATGCTTTAAACAATTAAAACAAAACTATAATAAGATGAATGCCTTAAATTTTAGGTGTGTATGTTACAAAAGAAGGGTTTTATTTTAGCCATATGGCTGTAATTTTTAAATCTCCTTTGACTCTGAAAGTGTAATTTTTTTTTTCTTAATAAGGATCCAACTGGGTATTTTGTTAATGTATATATTGTACTGTCTCAGCTATGTGAACCAGCTATGAGCTCTACATCAGTCTGGTCTTCTTTTACTTGATCCCGTTGAGTTCATTTACTAAAATTGGAGTGTGGAAAATCTGGTGTAGCTCTGCATAGAAACCAATCAGCTTCCGAGTTTTATTGTCAAAGCTTATTGAACAAGCTGAAGTTAGAAGCTGATTGGCTACCATGCACAGCTACACCATTTCAACCCCCTAGTTCTTTATAAAGAGTTCAATAGAGCATTGCTGAAAATTCTTCCCATTTTCTGTCTTCCTACTCAGCTATCCATTTAAGGAAGAATTTCAAGTTTTGATATTTTTGCAATGGTCCAGCTTGGGCCAATTAAACTATATACATGCCATACCTATGGGATCCCTATAGAAGCTGGAACTTACTGTAGTAAGTCTCCATAGCTGTCTTGCTGCATTGTGAACATGGGTGCCTTTCAAAGAATGCTTTTCATTTGCTCAATGAATGTTATGCATTCTCTGAATGGCTAAGGTAGAGAGTATGACATCACCAACCTGCCTCTCCGCCTTGTCCACTCAGAGAATGCATTACATTAAATGAGATAATGAAAAATTATCTCTGAATGGAGCCTGTGCCGAATGGATATCCTGCTGTGTTCAGAATGCAGCAGGGCAGAGTGTCGGCATGGGACCCGAAAGTAAGTGGAGATCAATGGAGTAGGAGTGCCTTTTTCCACAGGGAAAAAGGGCACTCCTACTCTACTCTGCCTTTGATAGGTATGGTATATGCTGTTACATTGTTCCAAGCTGGATCAATATAACTATGTAAAAATATCCATTCCTGGAATTCATCATTAAAGCTGTAGAAAAGTCTTAACATAAAAACAAAAGTGGTCACTCCGTTGGTTTACCCATAATGTGTCAGTATGCACTGCACCTTAGATTGTACACCCCTTGAGGGTTAGGGACTGATGTGAATGTACAATGTATATGTAAAGTGCTGCGTAAATTGACGGCGCTATATAAGTACCTGAATAAATAAATAAAATAAATGGCAGACTTACCTTGAAACAAAGCCCTCCAGCGTTTTCCTTTGTTCCTCTATTTTTCCCATTAACCCTTAGGAGCTGCATACTCTAAGGCAGGGGTGTCAAACTGGTGTCCCTCCAGCTGTTGAGAAACTACAATTCCCATCATGCCTCTGCCTTTGGGACTCATGCTTGTAACTGTCAATCTGGCAATGCCTCATGGGACTTGTAGTTTGGCAACAGCTGGAGGGCCGCCAGTTTGACACCCGTGCTCTAAGGCTTATTCATTCCTTAAAAGCTTTCTGGAGCATTCATTTATTTATTACACTAATGAAAATAATCCAGTAAATGGGACTACCTGATCTGTAATGCAATGCTATCAAAAAGCCCAGACCTGTAAGGAATCAATGATCCTTGCAATTGGAATGTTTCATGAGAGTTATGGGCAGAGAGATTTTAGATCTTATCTTAGACATGACCTGAAAGTGAAAATTTGGTCACATTTCGGTGACTCAACCAGTTCCCATTAACACATTGATTCCACTGAAAAAAATTGTTCTAAGGCAGGAGATATAGTAAAAATGTTATCATTTTTTTCCTGGTATTCATCATTCAGAAGTAGTCATCTGTAATTACTCATGTACACAAGGATAATGTAAAGAAAAACAGTAACAGTGACTAATCAACTGACTGAAACAGCATAGAGGGAAGCCATCTGTAAATACTTTCCTTATAAATACTTTGCTTTTATTCAACAAAGGAGAAATATAAGAGATCTATTGCTTTCATTTTCTAACTGAATGTATTTAAAAATGCAATCAATCAGCCAGCAAGAATTATCATCTATATTTTTTCGATGCTGCTAAAATTAATTGCTAACATGGTACATCATATGGCTTTCAAAGAGGATTATTACAGCTGAACTCTAGGTGGATATAAAAGACGCACATTAATTCAGCTCTGTATTCATTAATACGTGTATGCTTTTAATCCAATTAGTTTAACCACTTCCCGTTTGGCCCATGTACATAAACTGCCGGAAGGGAGCACAGCAGGAGCGGGTGGCTGTTTATAAATGTCCCTGCCTGTGCGTGCTCTCTGGTAGCGCGCAGCACCGTGATCCAATGCCTACTGTGTCCTCCGGACACAGCGGAACACTGATCGCTGTACGGGACCTCTGTGTGAGTTCCCAATCATGTGATCACTGATTGGCCAATCAGTGATCACATGAATAGTAGTAAGCAAAATGTCACTTCTGACATCATTGCTTACTACTAGCGAAATCTGTGAATGATCACAGAGGTCACATGGTACAAGGCTATTCACACCAACCTTTTACCATGTGACAAGCTGTGACCAATCACAGCTCTCACAGTATTTCTCAACCGCTGTCAAGAGATGGAGAAATGATTCCCTTTACAGCCTTTATGTGTGTGAAAGCAATCAGTGTAAAAAAAAAAAAAAAAAAAAAAAAAAATCTTCATAACCCCCACAAGTAGTACAGTGTCACTATGGTGACACTGTACTGCTAGGGTGACAGTATGTTAAAAAAACATAAATAATAATATAAAAATAAAATAAAAATGTAAAGAAAATTTTTGAAAAAATTATAATTTTTGATTATACACTAATTTGGTTTTTTTTCTTTTTTACTAAAAAGATAGCTGAATACATTTTGGCCAAGATTTATGAAGAAAAATTATTTATTTGCAAAATTTTATAAGAAAAACACTTTTGTTTCAAAATGTTTGGACTATTTCATTTGTATAGCAAAAAAAAAGAATCCCAGTGGTGAATAAATAAATAAAGTTTTACTTGTCTCAATAAAATGCTAAAAAAATCATATGGGTACAGTGTTTCATGACCGCGCAATTGTCATTCAAAGTGTGATAGCACTGAAAGCTGAAAATTGGCCTGGACTGGAAGGGGGTGAAAGTGTCCGGACTGGGAGTGGTTAAGCACCTGGATTTGACTTGGGATGGCCAAACATTGTATAATTTGTTAATAATTCTTGTACAATTTTCTTTTAGATTTACCAAAACCATATAATATGAGTTTATACCTAAACACTTTCCATTTGTACGTAATAAGGCGGGCCCTTGCACTGCATTGTTGAAGGTAAATCTAAAAGAAATTGGACAAGAAAATTGTACAATGTATGACCAGCTTTGGTATCAGCCTGTTCCAGATTCTGTACAGAGCTCAAACTGGGAGAGGGTGAAAAAGCACAAGCTGTACGGTAGAGTAAGATGATGGGAGGAGAGAGCAGAGTTACACAGAGATCAGCTCATCATTGCTTCTCTTTTTTGCTGTCCAGTCCAGGGGCAGACTGACAACTCATGGGGCCCCCGGGCAATAGGGGATCATGGGGCCCCTGTGTCCTTGCCCAAACTCAAAAAAGCCTGTGAAAAAGGTACCAGGGGCATCTCATGGGGACCCAACTGACCCCGGGCCCTCGGGCGGTGCCCGAGTTTCCAAATGGTCAGTCCGCCCTGGTCCAGTCGCAGGCTGGGATAGAGGCAAGACATGTGAGTGCTACTGATCTGTGTGACAAAGTTGTATAAATCTCAAAATTGTAAGGCCAGAAGTAAAAATCCTTTGGCAAGTAAAAGAGCTTCCATATATGTATTTCATCTGTGTGTTTAGTTGGAGTTCAGACACTTCCAAGTCTGGCAAAGACCTCAAAGGAAAACACAGGACTTGATTTCCTAAAGGAAATGGCTAGTGAACATAATGAGGTTGTATACTAAAGGCAAGTAGACTGCACAATTTGCAAGGGAATATTTCCCAGATGCGTAAAGTGTTACTAAACCCACAGCAGTAAAATCAGTCTGTATATGCAGTAAAGCATGCTTGTTATACTCACTGTGGAACCTAAGGGGTTAATCCTCTGCATTGTGTAAAAAGGCCACTTGATCCTGACTTCTCTGCTCCTCCTCTTGTTCAAATTTCCAAGCCTTCTCTCCTGATAAGACAGACTGAACCCGTAGCCACATGCACATGCTCAGTTTGGTGTGAATTGCTAGAGAGGTTTTTTTTTTCTTGGGAGAGTGCATGTGATAAGCACAGGGCCAGTCAGCACTGTCCAGACAGAGGTTATGGGTCTTGCATCCTCCTAGAGCAGAAAACTCCTCCTACAAGCTTTAACTTGTGCTCTGCTAGACACTGATAGAAGTCACAAGACTGCTCCAAAACACTTCTCAGAGGCGTTTTTTAGGCGCTTTTCAGGCATTTTCCATTGATTTCAATGGGAAGAGGCATTTTTGGGGCATTTTTTTTAACTCCCCAAACATGCCCCAAAGATGCTGTAAGCAGAAGTTTTTACACCGCACTGCAAGAGCAACTCCTCAGTGTGAAAACATACATACATATACATTCACATACATAGGGAAGTGTTTTTCTTGCGCTTTTCAGGTGCTTTTGTAATGCAAAAATGCTTCAAAAACTCCTCTGTGCGAAAGTAGCCTAAGTCTACTTTCACACTTATCCACCGCAAAAACACAGCAAAAATACATAGGCGTTTTTACCACGCTTTCTGTGTTATTTTAAGGAACATGTGACTTTAAAACTGCACCAAAAACGCTTCTTAGAGGCGTTTTTAGGTGGTTTTAATGCACTTTTCAGGTATTTTGAGGCGTTTTCCATTTATTTCAATGGGAAGAGGTGTTTTAGGGGTGTTTTTATTAATTCCCCAAACATGCCACAAAGATGCTGAAAGCAGGAGTTTTTTTTACACACCATACTGCAAGTGCAGCACCTCAGTGTGAAAACATACGTAGATATACATTCACATGCATAGGGAAGCATTTTTCTTGAGCTTTTCAGGCGCTTTTGTTTAACACAAAAAATGCTTCAAAAACTCCTCAGTGTGAAAGTAGCCTAAGTCTACTTTCACACTGATCCACTGCAAAAACATAGCAAAAATGCATAGGCGTTTTTACCACGCTTTTGCTGCACTTTGAGTGTTTTTTTAAAGGACACATGACTTAAAATCTGCACCAAAAACACTTCTCAGAGGTGTTTTTAGGTGTTCTTAACCTCCCTGGCGGTATTCCCGAGTGTAGCTCGGGTAAAGTTTCAGCACCAAAAGCGGTAACCCTGAGCTACACTCGGGAATACCTTGCAGCGCTGCTCCGGGATCCCTTCTGCACTTACCTTGTCCTGCGCTCCCGAGATGTCCCCCCTGCAGTGTCTACGGCAATGTCCTCCGGCCGATGCCGGCATCTGTCTTCTGATTTCCATCCCCTGCGACATCAGGACGTTCGGGGGACAGAACTGGCGGGAAATTTGAAAGTTGTAAAAGTGACATTCACTAAATACACTAAAATCACATAGTAAAACATTACTGTATCAAACCATTTCACATACATTTTGTCCCGAGTGCTTTGTCCTGTGCCCTGCCTGCATTTTTACCGTTCTTTCTGCCTGGAAACTGAGAAACGTCCATGGCGTCCAAAAAGGGTCCCTTTAGGTCAAAAGCGATTTTAGACCAGCTAGAGAACAGTGATAGTAAATTAGAACCACTTGCAGAATTGAGTGATAATGATTAGTGGGGAAAATCGTCATCAGACACTGAAAACGATTTTGCGACTTTGCTCAGCGATGTGCGAACTTGGCGCTATATTTCAAATTTCAGTGCTTTTGGTTTGATTATATTATTGAATTAAATGTATTATTATATTATTATTTTTTATGATAATTTATTAAATTATAATTTATGATTTCGTGTTTCAAATTTTAACATACCCGGGATGTTTACTAGATTCTTGTTCAGACAGATTTCAGTGAGTTATTCCTAAAAATTACAGGCCTACAATAAAAAAATACATATTTCCATGCAAAAAAATGTACCGCTTTGAGCACAGAAATATGGACATAATCAGACTGCTAGGGAGGCTACTGTGCTTTTCAGGCGTTTTTGAGGCATTTTCCATTGATTTCAATGGGAAGAGGCATTTTTGGGGTGTTTTTTTTTAACTCCCCAAACATGCCCCAAGCAGGAGTTTTTACACCGCACCGCAAACTCAACGCCTCAGTGTGAAAACATACATAGATATACATTCACATACATAGGGAAGCGTTTTTCTTGAGCTTTTCAGGTCCTTTTTTTAACGCAAAAATGTTTCAAAAACTTCTCAGTGTGAAAGCAGCCTAAGTCACAAGGAGAGATTGAACCTGAGGGGGATCTAGTCTCTCAGGTTCCCCATTAGGATCAGTCCACTACAGCATCATTGGTTGCTAGCAGCCTGTTGACTGTGAAGCCCACAGGGTCCTAGACAAACAGTGACAGGTGGGGAAGGGATTATGGTGGAAAACATTCCACCCTGCTTCACAGTGTATACATATAGGAACTCTGTCTTTGTACACCATATTAGAGTTGATCTTAATTACTTGCAACTGGAGGTAATTCTTTTTAAATTTGATGCAGCCGAATCACCACTTCGTAAAAGTGGCACTATTGGGATTTACCTGAAGCTGTCATTCACATCTGACTCAGGTCTTCTTCAAGAGCCATATTGCCAGAAAAGTAGCACAAATGCCCTATTGAACCCCCCCAGCATGTTCTGTTTACATAATCCCATAGTGTCAGAGAGTCTGCATAGGTGTTAATCATTCAATAGATATGGCTGAAGGTGTGATTAGTTGACAAATCACCTTGGAGAAGATGTTAAAGTGGCATTACATGTGGAGGGCAGATAGTGTTAAAGGCCCCCACCACTGTTTAACCACTTCCCGTCTGGCCTATGTATATAAACGGCTGGATGGGAGCAGTGCAGGAGTGGGTGGCCATTTATAAACGCCCTCCCGCATTCCCTGCCTGTGCGTGCTCCCTGGGAGTGCGCGACATCGCTGACACTGCAAGAGGCTGATACTAAGTCAAAGTCAAGTAATGATACTGATTTCATAAAAAAAAATACATTTAATAATTTATTAACCTCCCTGGCGGTATTCCCAAGCGTAGCTCGGGGTTAACTTTCAGTACCAAAAGCGGTAACCCCAAGTTACACACGGGATTACACTGCAGTGTTGCTCTGGGATTCCCTGTTTCACTTACCTTGTCCTGCGCTCCTGCAATGTCCCCCCTGCAGCATCCCCGGCCATCTCCTCCAGCTGATGCCGGCATCCGTCTTCCAGCGTCGGAACGTACGGGCCGTACGGGGCACTGGAACCAGTGGGAAATTTAAAAAAGTTAAAAAGTGACATTCACTAAATATACTAAAATCACATAGTAAAACATTACTGTATTAAACCATTTCACATACATTTTGTCCCTAGTGCTTGGTCCTGTGCCCTGCCTGCATTTTTACATAAATATAAAAACAAATTTG